AAGAACCCAGCTGGGCAATGGGACCCCATGGAAACAAGCCTCTCGGAGACTAGCTCCAGCTGGCCATTGGGACGCCTAGAGGACTAAGGCCTCTCTGTTTAGACCCACTGTAGAAGGGCAGAGGGACCCCAATAGTAACAAGGCCCCTTCTTTGAGACTCCCTCTGCTGGGCAATAGAACCCTACAGAAAGAAGCCCCCTCCTCTGAGACCAATCCCACCTTAGATGATGACTCTTTCTCTTCCACTCTCTCTGAATTAGGGAGATGAGTATGAAAGTGTCAGGGAAATTGGCTGCTTTATTTCAGAGCCCGGCTCTGTCCCCCAGCCCAGGGAAATAGCCCACCCACAGGGCAGCCAGCTCATGAGGGGACAGGAACGGAGCTATTGAGAGACATGGAGGGAAAGAGCCCATCATGAGGGCAGGGGCAGGAGCAGGGACCACAGGGGATGGACACAAAGCTTGTAGGATGTCACCAGTTGGTAGTCAGGGACAGATTCTGACTTCAGTGGGTGTGGGGGGTTCTCAGTATTAGACACCACCATTAACAGGCACCCATTCCCAGAGCACAATGACTCTAAGGGTCACATGATTACTGTGATGACTAAAACAAATCCCCCTTCTGGTACTAAACCGCCTGGTATGGACCCTGCGATTCCATCGGGCTGTGGATGCCATGAGGACCCTGGCCAGTGTGCACCCAGACGGAAACCGGCAGTGAAAGCGGAATGCCAAACCTCCCCAATGGGTCTGTCTTTCTCCCCCAGGGCTCAACATCACCGAGGGAAGAGAGCTGTGGTGCCGGGACGGGCTCCAGGATACCGAGAGCATGGGGTACAAAAACCTGGCCAGGGTGGGAGAGGTAAGGACTCTCTGCCGGTGCATTGCAGCAGCTCAGGTGTGGAGCTGTCTCCCCTGCAGTGAGTGTGTCATGGACACAGGGCAAGAGCCTGCTACTTATTTCCAGCAGAGTATGTGAGGCTCCTGGGAATGTCAGTGGGGTGAGGCGTGGGAATGAACCAGATCTAAAAGACCCCTGACCTCTAGCGGGTGAGCTGCAGGAGATATCGCTGCTGGGAGCAGTAGAGTGTCTGGGTGAGCTGGTTTCAAAGTGCAGAGACACATTTCCAGCATCTCATGGCACCTGCGGTGAATCCAGCTCCAGAAAGAGCTATTGGAGGCCTCAGTGCCTGCAGCCTCTTACTGAAGGGGGTTCTTTGGTCCATGGGACCCCAAAGGTTGGCTGCCCCAGGACTCTTCTCCACCTTGTGAGCCACCAGAGGGATTTGGAGCCTGGTTCTGAGCCATTGCAAGGGCTCTGGTTCTGTTGGTTTTAGGTCTTTGGTGAGATATTCACGGAAGAGCAGAAAAAAAATTTTCTTCACGGGGCGCTGGAGGCCATACACCACCCCCTGCTCCATGTCAGCCAGGCTGGGCTGCTGCTCACCTACTCCATCCTGAGGGAAGCCGGCCAGCTGCTAGGGGACGAGGTAACCAAAGAGGGATCAACTGGGGAGGGAACCCCAGGGCCTTTCACCTCCAGGCCATTGACAGTCACTCCCATCCCATCCCCACGCGCTGACCTGGGAGCAAGGAGAGGATGAACCCAGGCAGGTGCCATTGGTAGGTGCCAGCTTGTCCCCTGAGCAGCTCAAAGCAGGGCAGACCCAGCTCTCCAGCAAGGCTTTTTCCTAACGGGCATTACATTAATACGCCCCGCTGCCATTGCTCATGCTAGGGGCTGCCAACTCCCCCAGCCACCTCTGTGAGCCTTTCATCCCCTCCGGGCCTCAGGCCAGTTCCTAGTGCTCTGGGATCATGTTATCCCAGCAACCACCT